GGAGACTGGAAGTCCACTGAAAGCTTACAGAAAAACTGATGCTGCTGAGATTCAAAAGGAGTACAGGATAAAACTGGTAGGAATTCCTGTTTTAGATATTGGATGGAATATCATTCAAGACTGGAGGAAAGAAATACTTAAGACACCATAACATTCTTAGATTTGATGTAGAAAATATTCTAGAACCCTATTACGGAGCAATAAACAGTATTTTCAAAGGCTGAGTCCATTCTGGCCAATTGGCATAGGTGTTTACTTTTTTTAACATATATTGGTATTAACAGAATTTGTAGTTTAAAATGTTAATTCATTTTGGCAAAAATATCCAAATATGGGAAAGTATTTTAAAGACTATACATATTCTCCCTTAAAAATAATTGCAACTCCTCAATCCAAAACACCTCGTAACTGTTAATTTATAAAATTTAACAGGACTCCTGACAATACCTTCTCACTGGTAAAGAGTTCCAACTGTGATGCCAGTTCCTTTATTCGTCTCTCTTTTTCCGCCAGCTGAACCTACAGGAAAAGAAGTTTAAGGTTCCTATATAAGTGAATAGAAACTATTTCCCTGCATGTCATATTGTGAAAAAAAAGTCCTGTGATTAAATTCATCTTTCAGATGGAAATTATTTTGTCTACTATAATTCCATGCAACATCTAGTTTCATCTACAAATGAAAACTAGCAATTCTTCCCACATGTATCTGCTGGGTAACAGAAGTACATAAGCAGTCTTGCCAGTTTTCAGGGAACAGCTGAGGAATGATAAAATCCCTAGGTTCAAAAACCAGTAGTTTTAGTAATATTAATGGCAGGAGGGACACCACTGTGCAGAAGCAGTTGCATAGATTTGCAAGCCTCATTTCTAAAAGGAATGTGTTGGCAAGCATTTCAGTGATTTACTTCACTTCTCTCCAGCTCTTATGTCTCCCCACAAAACTGAGACAACCAAAACCTCCTCTCACCTCGAAGATACTGTATTTATTTAATTAACATCTACCTTGTTTCTCTGCTGGGTGCTCTAGAAGGAGACACAACTGATGACACAATTCTTGTAGGCTTCCTCCTTGCTTCAAATAAATAACCCTCCTCTACAGAGGGCTACTTTATTTGGATTCTGGTTACTTCAGAGGCTGCCCCTCTGCTTGTTTTCCTAGCATATAAACTCAATGTTCTGCACAGTTACATATTGATTTTTTTTCAATTCTGAAATTACCTCTCCTAGTTCAACAAATCTACAGACTGGGAAGAAAAGCTCTTAATTCCCCACCTGCACCCTTCCTGAATTATAACAAGTTTTGAATTGCAGTCAAAATGCTTGCAATTCTGGAACCAATTATTTATTACTCCTGCTGTTCAGAAATTTAAAAAAAAACACCAAACAAAAATTTAATTTACACTGGCTACTGATTACTGCTAATTAATGAAATTACATTAATTTGAAAGAGTAATGTACTTCATAAAATTGAAATTTGAGCTTTGAAACCTGTCAAAAAAAGGACAGCACAGCCTACACAGACTGCTGTAATGAGCTGTAGAGGGGTAAGTCAGTAGTTTATAAAGAAAAAGTGCTTTAATTTCTAATGGAAGGGGATTCCTACTAGAATTGATATAGTCACAGTTAACCACCATAGGCAAAAATGGGCAACAGAGAGTATTCCATCCTGACAACTACACTATGACTGTTAAACTGAAAACAAGCATAAAAGCTGGTCTTATGGAAATTGGTTGGTCTTATCTTGCCTTTGTTGGCCTAAAAAGCCACTTGAACATATGCATTACTATCACATAACCTCAAAATTTAAGGCCCTACATAAGCTAAGGCTGCACATTATGCCTGAATCTGTGGTGCATGTGTTACATCATTCTACTGAGATTGTAGCTGAGATCCTCCAAATAAAGTAATTCTCTCTTGATCATTTTAAAAACATTCTTGTACTACTCTAGTTAATTCAGGTAAATGGATTAGACATTACTACACTGGTAATGCAGTATCTAATATGACTATTTCAGCCACACATGCCAATCAACATTCCTGTTAGTATTATAGTAAGCAACAAGAAATTAGAACAATCTTCCCCTTTTTATCCTGTAATAGAAAACCAACATCACTTAGAAGCTTGTCTCAATCCACAACATTAAAAGACTGCCATTTGGTGGTATACTTAGCAGATCCGTCTTATTTTAAAAGAAGCATTACAAGACTCTGTTGTTTCTACAAGTGCAAAACAGAATTTCTGTCTACATCAAAGGTACATTTAGTCCTTTTTCATGCATTAAAACTTATTATTACTTGAATTATTAGAAATTGGCAACTATTATAAGAACAGGATAAACAAAATGTGTAACTTACTTTATACTGATCCTCCATTGCTGCTAGCTGTAATTTTATACCCTCGTTGATTTTCACTTGCTCTTTCCACTTCAGCTCCAGTTTAGCAAGCTCATCAGCATAAACACTGCACTTCATCTTCTCATCCTAAAATAGTTTATACCATGGCATGATATACATAAAGTTTTCAGAGATTTCCCCTCCCACCCACAACAATGACACTGTAACTCCGTGCTTTCCGAACATGACCATTTGCAAACGGCTTCCCCAGGAAATCAAGCCTAACTCAAGACTTTAGAGAACAGGACCACTGTACACTGTGTAAATTATGTTCAATACCTATTATTTCTTCCCTGAGTTTTCAACAAGCTGATATTCTTCTTTAGGTTTGCAGTTTCAAGTTTCTTCACATCCTAATACTACACTGTAATCATGATCATCCTTTAAAGTGTCCCATTTCAATATAAAGCCCTTCCCCGTTCAACTTTTTACAACCCAAATATCTTTCATCCAGAAGGTCAAAGGCAAAGCTTTCCTCAAGCATCACTATAGAAGCAGCCTGCAGAACTTAACTGAGGCTTTCCATAGACAGCATCACGAGCACAATTACATGACAGTTGTTACATTCTTGAGAGGACATTAAAATAGTATCATATCAATGTAATAAATGAGAAACAAGATTATGAGTTTATGGCTGTCTGTGAACCGTATTAAAAATATTTGAAAACAAAACATGCTGAATAGAGAAGAATTCCAAGTTTTTAATTCTAATCTTAACTGTTCTGACTTCATAATGTTGTTTAATGTTATTTTTTTAAACCTCAAAGAACAAGCAAACCAGTGAACAGAGACAACACCCAGTTTATAGTTTGTAGAAACTTCTGAAGCAGTGGCAGAGGAGGCAGACAAACCAAAGTTAAAGGTTGTTCCTTTGACCTGTTTTTTAAACATTCTACAACAGACAACTTTTCACTAGCATCGCTGATGCAATACTCCATCATCATACCTACACACAAACTTGTTAAACGAATATTAAGTCAGGACTGACAGGTATTAATATTTGAAGGGCTGTTACTATGGTGTGGCTATAGCACTACTGCTGCCAACTTTGGTCCAGGGAACCATATAAATGCCTTTATATGGCAGAGCACAAGCCAGTAGGCAGCACCCACTCCGATATCAAAACGCTGTAAAAGCCCAGATCAGTCAGGTTTGGAGGAGTTACTAGACTTGAACACCATATTAGATAAACACAGCTATACTCATTCCACGTATCAGCTGGCTTATACCAACACACTGTATTTGATAAAAGCAATTACACTTAAAATATAATGCAAGAAAAAAAAAAAAAAAGTACTCATAACTTTAAGCACAGAGGTAGAGTAGCATTGCTCATTAATCCATCTGGGTTTTCCTGAGGGGTCCCTGAATGGACTAACACCGTAAGTAATCAAGAGCTAACTTAACAAAAATGTGTTTTCTGAAACGAAGATTTCTACACTAATTGCAGTGTACCACACAAAGAAGCAAAGCAACTCAAGTGAGTAGGCTTTGTGGCCATAAGACCTTGCAGCTCTAGCTACTTTTTGTTCAGCTTTCCAAAGCAGTCAGTTACTTACTGCCAACATTTGCTTGCATTTCTTATACTTCTCTGTTTTCTCAGCAATTTCTTTATTCATTTCACGTACTTGCTCCTTTACCATGAATTCCGAAACTATGTCAGATGAAATGGGGCTAACTGTGAACATTGAAAAAAAACAAAAATATTGATTTTTTTTGTTCCATAGATAAAGTTTGTGTAAGAGAGATAACAGCCCAAATTTTACAGTGCATCCAGAACAGAGTGCTCCATGTTATCCAAGCAAATAGCTAACCAGAGACAATCAGTATTGTGTGGCTAGCAGTATGCAAGATCACTAGTCATACTGACATGTCTGTGCTCAGGCTCTCACACACTGAAGATGAACATAAATACACACATAGGTACTACAAAGGTCAACATAAAAAAACCCAAACCAGACATCTCTCCCTGTAACTCCTAAGTAAACATCAGAATATTTAAGTTATGATATCATGCTAGATATTTCATTCTTCCATAAAAGCAGGAAGTGCCTCAGCAATCTACTGCATCCCATCACATATTATAACTGGGCTTGCTGGGATTTTCTTTGTTTTAGGAAACATTTGCATTTACTTAAGAGGAAATTGACAAAAATTACAACATAAACTCTCTACAGTCAGAAAGAAGGTATGAAGGATAAAGTAACACAAACAAAACTAGTCACCATTTACTGGTATTTATCAATTTAAATTTATGTTTAATAGCTTGTTTTAGAAGATTAGTTTTCTAAGAACTTAATAGCTCATAAAAATTATAACCAGTGCATAGTCATTATAACAAGACTGCAAAATTACCATGCTATTGAACACAACTGGCAAATTTAGAAAGGAATTTTATTTAATTGTTAGCTTGGCTAAATCAGCTCTGTGTTAACTATAAAGCAGAAATTCAAGAGTTCAATCCTGCTGACATTAAAAAATATCAACTGAACTGTTTTTAAAAGATATATAAACTATGAATGCTACCACTTGAAAAAAAAAAAAATTAATGAATATTCACATTTCTCATCATTGCTTAAACTAAAATGGAACGAGACCACCTACTTTATACTATAAATACTATCATGGACTCCTTCATATACAGAACACTTTCAGGCTGATACCAATAAGACTAAAATATAAGCTGTTGATACCTGGAGATGCAGACAACTTTTTGTCTGTAACAACGGCAGTAGCTGTCGCAATGTTAGATGCATCTGTCAGTTTCTGCTGATGCCCTGCAATTTTCTTTGTGAAAAGAAATTTTGGTTTGGTATTTAATTAAATGAAAGCCAAAGCATAAAGTAACATATATGTTGCACTATCATCTCCAAAATCGGTCTAGGCAGAATTGCTGATTAAAATAGAGGTTAACAGTAAATACGCAAACACATTCAACTCTACTAACACTGAAATTGCCTCAGACTATTATTTTTATAATCTTATAGAGTTCCTTTTGCCTAGAAATAGTAATTACTATGAAAAATGTTAGGAAAACAGCATCTTCTAGAGAATAAGTTACACTTATATCCATCAACTTAAATCTAATATTCCATTAGAAAATTAAATCTGTATTACTAATGAGTGATGCACTTCTGGTGTCAAAGTACTGAAATCTGGTGCTTGTTATCAGATAAACAGCATAGTCAAAGATGTGGAAGATTTTTAAGGAAAAGCCGCAGGTGTTTTGATTGACACCTCATTCACAATTGACCTTCTGGATGAGAAGACAACTTTTTAAAGTAATCTCTGGATCAAAGCTGGGTAACTACACTATTTGTTCTGTGGGTAGCAGAAATATTTAAGTCTGTTTTTCTTTAAAATTCACATTTGCACATCTTGCCACTGCTTATAAACCTTTTCCCCGTTTGAGCTTCTCTCTGAGTCACTGGTTTTTATGAAATTTTTAACAAATTCTGCTCTCAAGTCTGCTTGAATTCACTAGCAGGTTCAGTTGTTAGCTGGCTGAAGATTCACATCAGCATTGCAAAAGCCTCACTTATTTAGAGGATCAATAGGAATACAAAATACAACTATGTACTGTGCTGTGGAAACTTTCTCCCCACCTCACTTTGAAACCCTCCTCCAAGCTCTCCCATTTCCTACATTTTTAGATTTGGGTATGTTGGGGTTTTTTTGGTGGTGGTAGTACTGAATAAAGGTAGTAATTATGGATTTTTTTTCCTGCTTTAGTTTCAAAATTCTTCCTTGAACAATAGTATGCTTAGAGGTTCATCCAAACTCTGACGGCTTCCTACATACACCAGTTACTACAAATCCTAAGCTTGGTTTCAACAATTATCTATGAAGAATCAGAAGTATTTTAGCTTTATGGATAAAAATGGTAAACTAAAGAGCTGCTGCTTATTGCACATTTAATCTGTCTTAATACCACTGATTTTGCAGACACAAGTTAAATACTTTGAAAATTTACAAAAAGCAAGTGCAACTTCTCCCATTCTACTTACTGCCTGTTCTGTGAACTTGTTTACTTGTTTTTGAAGCTTTTGGCATTCTTTGAATTTTTCCTTGTAATGATCAGCAGCCATTTGCAGACGGAGCTTCAGATCTTCGACTTCTCTGCGTAGTTCCTGCTCTGCCGTGTTTGAAGTTTCCTTAAAAAAAAAAAAAAAATAGAAACTGTTCTCCCTTTTGTTCAAATACCGCTCTTTCCCAAAAAGACTTTTTTCAATTGAAGAAAGCACAATGTTGTTAATAGAGAAGTTGCTCCTATATTTTGTGGGAAGGAAAGGAATAAAGTAGTAGAATACAGACAGAAGCAGCATTTGTCTTGAACTTCATTCCAAGAATGACACACTAAAGGAATAAATAGGCACTAGTATAATACCAGAGGCAGATAAGGAGGATTTTTATTCTATGGGCTGATTCATATATATGAAAAGTCTCAATGTGTATCAAAAGCCTGAACACCTTGCAGAAGGTGTTCCACCTATCTTGCAGACAAGTGGAAACCTTTAGAAATTCCCCTAACTCAACATTAAACCATGTTATACAGTGCCACCTTCCCCTCTTGTTTTTATCCTGAAAAATTACTCTCAAGGGGAAGCAATTCTACATAACAGAAGTTTCCCTCTGTTCTCTAGCAACTGAGGATAAACTACTGTGCTTTAGACTTTGTCTTGATACTTTCACTGGTCGTGACCACAACAATGCCTCCTTAATTTATAGTGAAAGTATTGACTTACGATCTACAAAATCACCTCTGATGCCCAGACAGGTCATAAAAGCTCCATCCCTGGAAACATTCCAGGACAGGTTGTATGGGGCTCTTAGCACCCTAATTTAGTTGAAGATGTCACTGCTCACTTGTAGGGGTTTGGACTCAACTCAAACCATTCTATGATTCTATGATGATAAGTATAGCCACATGGCAAAAACGGACATGCTACAACTGTGTTCTGTCACCCTGTGTTTCTACTGGAAAGTGGGTCAGTTGAGCTGTAATGTTGATACATGAGCTAAGCAAACTACATTTACCAACTGGACAGATGCTGTATTTTGGTACTTTCTGGTAATTCGCTTTATCACAGAATCATTCTGGTTGGAAAAGACCTTTAAGAGCATCAAGTCCAACCATAACCTAATAGCCTAGCTCTACCAAGTCAATGCTTAAACCATGTTCCCAAGCAGCACATCCACGTGTCTCTTAAACACCCCCGGTGATGGAGACTCAACCACCTCCTTGGGCAACTTATTGCTGTGTTTAATTACCCTTTCAGTGAATATCTAATTTAAACCTTCCCAGGGGCAACTTAAGCCCATTTCCTCTCGTCCTAAATTGTCCTTTATTCAGATGATGTGCTACTTCTTTCAAGATGCATTTTAAAGACATCCTATAGTAATTAAAATTCTTAGAAAAAACATGTAATTCTTGGATATTTAAAATATAATAGCTTTTTTAAGGGTTGTACTTCATATTTACTGCAATATTTTACTGTTCAGCTCAATGTATTTTTTTCAAACTGCTACATCATTACAGTAAACCTAGTAGTGAATTAATCCAATAACACTGCAGTCATGAAAATCCAGTACAAAGCTCACGTAATTCAGAATGATGAAATCTGTATTAGCTCATTGAATTTTTATCCAAGATGATGAAAATCAAGACAGTTTTCCATTACTTTAGTATTTGTAGGTGTAAAAATATTAAAGTAAATTAACCTTGACCACAAGTATTGAAAGGACTCAGAAGAACCAAGAGAGAATGCATAATGAGTAAAGAGCACTAAAAAAAAAAAAAAAATCTTACCTGAATTTTTAATGCTAGTGTGGCTCACAAAAGAATTAAGAAAGGGAAAGTATGCAAAATAACATGGATTAACACTGTATTATTCTGTGAAAATATTCTAGGAAGGGAGGGGATTTGCTGTCAGCAGTAGCAGAAACCACCTTTTTACCAACCTTTCAAATCAGCAACACACACTTAATGTAAGCTAGTATCTCGAGAGACAAGAGAGAATCTGGTAATAATTTGCACTAATCATCCAGAAATATACTTATTCTCCAACTTCAGTAAATCTAGCTCTAGCAGATTTTATAAATACAGCTAAATGTCAGTACTAAATAATTATTAGTTACCTGTTCATTTTTCAAAGTCGTGATTTTCTTAAGCTCAGCTAAAGCATCAGTCAGCTGCCTTTTCAATTTTTCATTTTCCAGACGTGCACTGTGAAGATCTGCCATTGTCTTATCTCTTACATTTACTGCATCACTCAGCTCTTTTGACATTAAGACAGCTTCTTGTTTGCTAGCCTGAATCTGATCTTCAGCTTTCCGAAGCTGTTCCTTTAAAATACTTGCATCCTCCTGGGAAAGAGAAGAGAGGGAAGAGAATTCATCATTCTTTAATTCAAAGCTTAACTAAATGTTGGCATAGGGATTAGGAACATTTAAATTTAAAAAATCAAGTTCTCCTGGTGGTTTTAGAAAAAACACTAAATCAAGCAGCACACAAATACCATTTTCTCCATTTGCCTTCTTTGCTAACAATGGTGTGGAAACATATTTCACTATGACAAAGGCCGATTTAAATATTATTATTTTACCTATACTGGATTTTTGCAGCATTTTCAGCTTTAGTTTTAAAAATATGCCAAAAATGTCTTTGTTTTCCAGAATATATTTGTTCTTATCACCATAGACCTTTTGACAGGCACAAACGGCCATGCAGCTTCAAAACCAAAGTTAGTCCCACAGTAAGATGCTGCAGGTAGCAAGAGAGTAAAAGGTCTTACAATGCCCACCACTGGCTGACATAAGACACTGTAAAGCAGGTGTTGGAATGTTTTTCTCATAGCTCCATTTCCCAAGATCTTGCACAACAAGCTTTTCAGAGGGAACTAAGAAGAAAAGTAATGAAGAACAAGCTGCAACATGCAGCACTAAGACACTCAGCACTGCTGCAGCTCCACAGGGCAGCCCAAGGGCCAACTGACCAAGTGGCACTACTGGCCTCTCATTCCTCAGAAAAGTCAAAAAATAAAATAAAAAAATTCAAAGCTATTATAAGCTACCTGCAGCCTCTGGTTTCCTGAAGGCATCATCATCTCATATTCTTGAGTCTAGACATAAATTCAAGTAACTCTAGTCTGCTATCTTTTAATATTTGAATAATCATTTAGCATAGCAAGTCCAGAGGGATACTAATATATTTTGTAAATATTTATGAAGATGGATGGACTAGGAATTGTCCTGAAGCTGTCTCTTAGATTTTTACAGCACATGATGCATCAGTTATATATTTCAGTAAAATATTTGCACTTTCACAGGGTAAGACAAAAATGTTAAAGATCCCACCAGAAACGTCACAAACACTTCAAGATTAATACAGGACTTTAACGTTTAGTTGCTTCAGTACTGGTACAGACACACCCTCTACACATTTTTACTTCAAAGTAAAAATACAGTAGTAACTTAACAAATTCAAAAGCAAAATTGTAGAGCAGTCAAAAGACTTGAACTGGATAAGCAGTATCTTGATTTAAGATGGCCTGTTCTGTATGCCTACCTGTTACTTCCATTCTCAACAGTGCTTTTCTACTTAAATTTTATATTCATGACTCATGTTACTTGAACACAATTTCTATTCTTTCGACACCTAGATTGCTTTTTCTGTGAGAACACTGGCAAGATACACAGCATAAAGTCATCTGCATAATCTGATTTCTCCATGCTGGCCTCAAAGACTGTGTGTAATTTAACCCTCTAGTTTGGATCAAGAGCATGTTTGTGAAACAAAACTCCCTGTCAATTCCACTATTACCTATCACACTGTAGATCACAGAACAGAGCAGTGTCAGGGCACAGAAACTGTATTCTTTTTGGATTAAATGAAACAAGAAGATGTACATCAGGAACAAACCCCTAGTGGGTATTCTACCCACAGTACCACACTAAAAGTAGTCTTAGGCAAATCCACCTGGACCATGGACACTTTTACTGAACTTACAAGTTGTTTTCACACATAGTTCATCTGGGTTCATCACGTGAGACCCCTCAACAAGGTCAGAATGTGCAAAACTAAGACTGAATTCACTCTCTTGCTCATTTTCTGCATCAACTGAGAAAACCATAATCCTCTTGCCTTGCAGCCTATACCTTGGTGATATCTTCAACTTCTTCCTTTCTTGTGTATAACACATTCAACCTTAGCTATGTTTATTTTAAACCAGGCCAATTATATGAGTAATGCTTACCTTATTTGATGAGGAGAGCAAAAAAGCTTTCTTCATATTTTCTTTTTCAGCTATAAATAGCTGTAATCTGCCAACCTCCTCCTTATAATACGATATCATGTTTTCTTTGTTTGCATCCAAATTCTTAAACGTCTGGATTTCTTTTACTAGCTTGGTGTTTTCTATTTCTGTATTCTTCAAGTGTATCTGTAATGATGCTAAAAAATGTCAAACTCTTCTTCCACATTATGAAAACTACTGTTCACCACATTTAAGTGTTCACTAAATTCTAGCTCATCTTTGAGTCATATTAGAATAGGCAAAGGGAAAATGTAAACATTTAATAATATCGCTGCCCTCCAGCACAAATTTTCTGGCTGGAATTCTTCCATCTTGATTATCTAACCAACAGCTAGAAATCAGGGCCCTGATTTCTGTCTCCACCAAATTAAGCTATTCAAAATTCATCCCTCTCTTGACAAATGCTGGACAACTAAGGACAAGCAAAGAAAACTAAAGAGTAATTAAACTTCTAGTAGTATCTACTTGCAATCATCTAGGCAAACAGGACTACATTAACAATATTCATTTTCAAAGACAGCAAGCTAGTTTAACAACTCTTGAGCTGTTTTTAAGATATCAAATTCATCATATAATGCCTAATAATGTGTAACTTTTGCACTCAGGTGTTGTCCACTCAAAGACTAGAAGACCTGTGTTGCTTATTTACAAATGGATTCCAAATAATGTTTTGAGATTTTATTACTTCTGGTGCATATCTAATACTGCCTGCCACATAAAGAGACTTTCCTATGAACAAAAATAACCTTTTAAATACACTTTATTTCATACAACCTAAAGATTTAATTATTTTAGCAAAAGAGACTTTTTTGCCTTTTAGGGGGAAGGACGCTGTATTTTAAATATGAGTGTCTCTTAATATCAGTAAAAGCAATTGGCTATGCTATTAAAATTCAATGCAATATAGATGCTACTACAGTTTCTCCAAGTTATGCACAAGACTCAAGAATAGGGATCTAGAAAACACAGTCTGGAGAGAAAATTTAAAAGAGCAAAAAGGAATTTAGTTATTAAATGGGTGACACACTGTATTACTAAAGAACTTCCTTACTGGCATTTATTATTTTTTTTGTTCCTATCCTGCATTTTAATAAATTGTTGATCCATTCACCTTCTTAAGAGGCCTCCTTATACCATGGGATAACTTCAGATGTAACTTTCCTCATTCATTTTTTCATAAGGACATGTATAACTGTCTTATAAATCTGTTCACACAAGTTACCCATTTCCTTTTTTCCGTAACCAAGACAATTTATCAGACTTCTTGGTAAAACATTTTTACCTTTATTTCAAACCACTTCATTTCAGTGTATACAGGTACAAGGAATAAAGTTACCTTATAAAGTTCTTTTTCATCCTTTTCTGTCTTTAACACACATTCAAGTTGCTCCTTCTCAAGCATCACTTTCTTCAGTTTGTCCTTCAAACTAAGACAATGACAAATTATTAGCACAGAACTATCAATACAGAAAATTGATGCATACACTGGAAAATATAGATTAAAGGAACACCTATAGAAAGAAACAGTAAAATGAGGAAAGTAAGGAGCAAAATAACTAAATACCTGTCTAACTCCGTTTCTTTTGCAATGGCTTTTTGAGTAACAGTCATGATATCTTCTTCAAGCTGGAGAACTTTTGAAGCAGCCTCATCGTGCTTCTTCTTCAAATCATCAATTTCAGTTTTAAGAGCATCTGATGTTTGAATATTATTCTTTAAAAAAATTGCAAATAGATGTAATTTAAGAATGTATATCTTTAGAACTGCAACATGGTATTTAAATTAATGCTAAAATGTGGTCATTAGATTTCTTCTCTTCCTTAAGATGTATGACAAGCCTATTTCAAGTATATACAAATATAGCTACTGAATATATAAAATTATAAGTTTAATGCAATAAGTCAATACATAATTTGTTTTGATAAAGCATTCAGTTACACAAAGACTACCAAAAACTTCAGAGCATAAGAAAAACAAAGCTGTACTTCATATATTTTGCTCATGTCCTTTCTGCACACTAACCATCAACTGCCTTGCTTAGAAACATAAAAAACTATTTTTCTTTGTTCTTTTAGTTGAAAAGAAGAAAAGCCTGCATTTGACCAGACAGTTACACCACTCAAGTCACACTAAGGCATTCACAGGCAGAAGGAGAAAAAAAGGTCTCCTAATGAAGAGCTAGTTACTACACTACATTCTCCTAGCTAGGACACATGGAAGGTCTCAGAGCTCATGGAGGCTCATTAAACAATCGCAGGATTTGCATCTTGGATCCTGGAAGCTGAGACAAGAGGGTGCAGACAACAACCAAAATGGATTCCCTTGTCCAAAAACTGACAGATGCAAGATGCAAAGTCATTTTTACATTCCACATTCATTATCTATTTGCAATAATGTCCATACCATTCTAAGACAGTGGAGAGCTAGAAGTCATCTACACCATAGTAAAATGGGCATTTGAAGTTAGATCAGCTTAAGTAACACAGAAAAATCTTCTTTTCAGTACAGTACTACTTTCTTGAGAACAGAAATTAACAACACTAAAGAAGAACACACATACTGAGAGAATATGCTACTATTTCTATTATCGAAATCCAATAAGTGTCAGGTTAATATCACCCATGACAATGGCATGAATCAAAGTGTAAACAAGGTCAAGACAGATCGACCAACATGCCTCACTACAGCATGACTTACGCTGTTTGTGCAGATACTAAGGTACAAGTTGTCTTTCTGCTCTGCATTTTGAAGATTAAAGCCCTAGTTCATCTGTTCATTTTTAAACAAAGCTAAATGTCCTGAAACAAGACTGTGCTGTTACATTAAGAGAAACACATCAGCCAGAGTTTACTGAGAAGCCCTACTGGCCTGATTCCAACCTAACTGTGTTTTAAGTACAATAAAATATAATGAGGACTGGTTTTACTCATTAATTGTCAAAATACACTGTTCGCAAGTGTAATTAAGGCCTGATTTTACAAGCAACTAAACAGAAGTTTGGGCTTTTTTTGGGGGGGAGGGGGGAGTTTGAATTGTGAGGGGTGGAAAATGTAACTGATGACTCAATCACTTCCTAGACACTATAGCAACACACAGTAGATTTTTATTTCTGTCACATACACTACAAAAAAAAAAAAAAAGGCAGAAGACTAATACATTACAACTATTTAAATTCTAAATGGCTCTACTATATGCCTTAATATAATACAGAATTTAAAGGCATCACATATATATCACCTTTTTTTAAAACAGAATTGGAGATGATGACACACAATTTTCATAAGGTCTTTATTTTTTATGAGCTATCAGTTTACTGCAAACAAAAATATAAGTACTTGGTGTAATGAAGGCAGGATATTTTAATTAAAGTCAGTATTTCAAGTAAAACTTGCTGCACAACCAGCAGCAACAACAACACCCATTATACCTGCTTGTCCTTCCCTAGTGAAGTGGAGACTAATTACTTGCCCCTGTTTTGAAAGTCTAGTATAGTAAAAAGTCTATTTCAATGCATATCTGTGTTTTCTCTAAACACCACTTCGTTATAACTGTAACTGCTGTAACCCAAGTACCTTCAAAAGAATTTAATCTGATACATTATATATACAAACTGTACAACCAGTTCAAACAGGCTGCCAAAGGTAACATATTTTAAAAGGAATTAATAGCCTGAAAAAAATTCCCTCCACAAACAGCATTACAATTGATGCTGCTTTGCTACTTATTCTAAAGGGACACGGTACTAAAATGTAAAAGTTCCATACTTAACAGATTCTCACCTAATAAACTTGTTTAGATATAACTAAAGCCTACAGTTTTGAAAGAAAAAAGGATTAATTTTTAGAGACGACTTGTTATTTTACAGATTTCTTAGCAATTCAATTTAGATGCTGCAATCCTAGTCACATACACTCTGGTTACAGCTGTTTCAGAGCCTGTAAAATTTAAAATTAGTGCTCTTAGACAATTTTACAGGTAAACATCAACTGTGTTTTAGGAGGAGTCTAAAGGGGAAGAAAATAATAAACAACAATTGCATGTACAAAACCTATTACAAAAAAAAGTACTTTATATAATTATTGTTTACTTCATTTTTCAGATTTACCCAGTACATCAACAGATATACCTTTTTTCCACTTCTTTAACAGAAAGAAAAGCCAAACAGTAGCATGAATCATTTTAATGAGCTGGATTTAAAATACTCAATAATTTTAATGTTATTTTTACTCTGGATTGCATTTTTAATTGAGTTACAAATGCAGCTCCCCCCATATCTCCTCCTTGGACTTGCAACAGTCCTATAGATAGAGGGGAGAAGCAAAGTGCACCACAAGGGTCAAAATAATCAGTGAGAAATTACTTAAATCACCTTCACTGCTACAAAATAAAAAACTACCAAAATAAAAATTCCTGTAACTACTAGGAGTCTCAGTAGTGAAATGAAAAAATAAAATAAAATAAAATGTAGTTGTCAAGTGAATTTATCTTGCCCAGAATCAAAATCCACTTTAAAAATTTTGATGTGCCCTCAGATACAGAATGAGTAGAAAGACAGGACACCAAATTTTTTTACTGCTTTTCAAAAACAGCAAACAATTAAAGATTATTCTTCAAATAATTTTATTCTAATCACATGAATCACTGTCCTCCCCCTGTAAAGAAGTGCCACTACACACAATGCTACTTCTTTAAAGTGCAAGGCAAACAGCTGCTGAAAGAGCAGAATTTTTACAGCAAAAATTTTGAAATTACACATCAGTTGTTTTAGGTTTGTGTAACCTAATCATAAATACATGGATCGAAACCTCATTAAGCTATTATAAACTTTATCAAAAAGACACGTGAAGATCATGCCTATGCTCTTCCTTTAGACATGTTTAAAATCAGCTTATTAAACTTCTGCTACAAAAGGACTAATAGTCTTTGCTTGAAAACAGAATAGTCATAGTCCTTGGAGTCTCATTTTCGTAACAGGGAACTACAGCAAAATCTGTGTGCTCAACAACGACGAACAAGATGCTTCCCCTACTTATTTCTTACTTCTAGTGGATTTTTGCAACATGATTTAAAAAATTTCAGAGTACAGACCAGTTAACGGAAGCAAAGCAGTACAGACATCCCTTCCTGTGAATCAACATACACAATGCATTTTTCAAACATACTTAAGGCAGAGAGAGATGCAACACACAGAATACAATACTTGAAAAATACAACCCAATATTATTTCCAGCTGTGATATCTTGCAATGTGGCAATGGGCAGCACAGGATTTTTATACTTCATCTTCCCTTTTTATCACTTGTATAACTCCCTATCAACTTTTTCAAAGTCATTCCACACCTAAAACACGCCTTTGCTTAATGGCTAGTATCTGCAATTGTATTTTACTTCTCAGAGAATGCACACATTTTATTGAAGAACAAATGGTTAAAAATGAGCTATGCAACTCTGACACCAAAGAAGCCAATTCACCAAATAAAAGACAATTTATTTAAAAAAAATAAAATTAAAAAGCAGCACCTTTCAAATTCCAGCTGGATTGATTTACCTGTATCTAATTTAAATGTCAGGGGAATCACTATGCTTCATACCTTGTACAGAATTTAGGGGATCAGGGGATCTAGATTAATTATGTGCAGGAGCCTTTTATTTATCTTATTGACATCCTAGCAGCTCCAACAGATTCACGTAAAGGGTGCGACTGACATCATACTTTGTGTAAAGGACCTCCAAGGTGAACACAACATAGTACCACTGCAGCCACTGCAAAATCTGAGTGTGCTCATAACACAGGGCCTGGATGTTTCAAAATAAAACCTCAGGTTGTAATTCTTCTTTCTAAAATAAAATCTACACATTAAATAAAACGGTGAACCAATTCCAAATAAACTCAATTATATTAAGCTTTTCTTTCTGACTATGACTGGCAATAGAAATACTGGTCTAGCAACCAAACAAACAACACTGAGGTTTCTACATCTTCTTGTATTTACAGCCAAAAACCTAAGACACCACAGTGACAGTGTTTTAATTGTGTTAATCTCTTCAACTAACACTGTTAAAACAGATCAAAATTCTACAAAACTAAGGCCTAATTCTAAAAAAAATTCTTCAGTAACATCTATCATCTAGATACTATCATGAAGACTACAGAGGTGCAACGTTTTGCAGAAGGCAGCTGAGGTACTTAGGCCATCTATGATTTTGCAGCATGCATTCACATTTCAGAACACTGATTTCTTAAAATCTCTTATAATTTCACTGTAAGCTATCACGTTTTCAAAGACTCATTCTCACAAATACTTAATTTGAAGTGCTGGCAGGATACTCATCTAAAGCATTTAAGAATCTCTCAAACTAGCCTGTTCAATCATCCAGCAAAACAAATTTCCATTAAACAGTTTAACAAATATTTATGCACAGAATAGTCACTAAAACAACAAACAGTATTCTCTCTTCACGGGATGTTTATAGCACTCTTGGGCACTATAACCCCTGGTGCCAACCTGAGCAATTCTGAGTGTTTAATTTGTATCTTTAAAATATTATGTACGTAAAGTTTGAGGGAGTTTGTGTATTTTTTTGTGTGGTTTTGCATACTGGGTTAGGGGGTGGTTTATTGGTGATTATTTGGGGTTTTGATTTTTGGGTGTATTTAAAAAAAAACAAACAAACACAAAAAACCCCACATCTACGTGATTATCAGATTTTCAT